CGTTTAGCTCCAACCAAACCAAGTGGCTGAGGACTAACTGATGGCCCGTTGTTTGATTAAAGGGGGAAAAAAGATTGAATTGATGAGCAAGTTTTAATGAGACTCAAAGTAATCACTGTACCGTAATCATCCATAAATGCTTATGTGCTGTTAGCTGAGAGCAGGAGGGCCAGTATCCAGCACGTTTTAGAGGTTTCCCTGCTCCAACACACTAGATTCAGTGGTTGAGTCCCCTGTGCAGCAGCTCATCAGGCTCTGCAGAAGCCTGTTAATCACCTATTGAAATCAGGTGTGTTGAAGCAGGGTTGAAACCGAATGGTACTGGACACCGGCCCTCGAGGCCCGGATTTGATCATCCCTGTCCTAGCGGATCCTCCCAGGTGATCCGTGTACACAAAGCTGTTTTCGAGTTTTAACCAAAGTCGTTGAAACTCCATCATAAGGTGGTTTTAATTAAAAAGTTATTGTTCGTTCCTTTTAGGGATGCCACATTGTCTTGCTTTATAAAGCCTTTATAATTTCTACAGTCACACACATCCACCTAGCATCTCTGACTGCTTCAGATCCGATTCTGTCTGTGAACTCAGGCAAATCCTATTGACCTGAAATGTTTTCTGCTGAAGTCCACGGGCCACGCTGGAGCTCTGCTCCAATTAGCACATCGACTCACTTCAGCTCCCAGTACTGCCATGCCTGTGGTCATGTTTTGTAATCCCTGAGTGGTCCCAGTCACAGCTGAAGCCATCACAGGGCAGGGGATCACTCCAGACATGCACTCTCGGTGCCGCGCCCTGTCTGCTTACACAGCTAGACCCAGCAGCAGAGCTCACACCAGGCCTTCCTTTGTCGAAGTCGAGCTGAGTTAATGGAGATTATTTATAGTTCCATAGCAGCACTCTCATTACGGAACCAATGCCTGGTAGAGGTTCTGATTGCCAACACACTGATTGTTTGAATGGGTTTTCTTTGTGGGGGGGTGTGGGTCACGATCCCAGACTCACTCCCCTTTACAGCTGAACCCGCAGCTGCCCAGCTGCACTCGTAGGCCGCTGTCACCTGGTTTGTCCTGATCTTTGTTTGCATTTCAGCTCTAGCGACATTTCAAACGGCACACACACACACACACACGTGAGGGGAAGGTGTGATGAAGGGGAGGGTGTTGGAGCACCAACAGCCTACAGAACCAGCTTTGTTTGCTGATCACAGCTCGTTTAGATGTTCATGAACAAATCTAATTAGAGCTTAATTAGTGTTTGTTGAGTGGGCGAATGTTTTCTGTGGTGTTCTCAGGTTCACACTCATCAGCTTTCCGGGCGGTAATGTTCCAGGGAAAATGAAGAACATCAGTCAGTGACCAAAACACTCCTGAGCACAGAAACAGTTTGTTCTAAATGATCTTTTTATTAGTCATTTCTAGAAATATCTGTAAATGCACCGTTTCTAGAAATGTCTTCATCCACACAATCACAACCCAAATGCTGTGAGCAGTCATCCAGACAGGGGTGGACGGGCCATCTGGCATGTTTATCCTGTGCGGACCAGTCCTGCCTGCCGGGATGTTTCAGAGGTGCTTTTTCATCGTTTTATCTACCCGCGCCATAAATACGTTAAACCAAATCTACAGAACAAGCTAGGTTTAAACACAAACATGAACTCCCTTCACATATCTTCCATGAGACCCTCGATGCCAAAGGACGCAAAATAACGCTAAACACCAGTCACCATTTTCTACGTCCAAACATTGTTTGTTGTCCGTAACTTCAAACGGTGATTTTCTTTTTGGAAGTCTGGTAGTTTGTAGCAGCCGGCTGTTTCTCTTTCTCTGCTGTTATTGAGCGGAGAACCTCTCACACCAGTGGTGGCAATGAGTGGAGGACCCAGGGATGTGCGGCGGTTCGACGAGACCGACAGCGGGACGCTCCAATAGTTGCTCTCGGTCCTAGCCGTGTCATTACGAAGGGTTTAAGACTATCAAAGCACAAAGAGGACTCAAATGCAGAGCTCACAGTTTTAATCAGCAGAAGGGATTCCTGGCAGTACAGCACAACTGAACAAGTCCAAAACTAACTAAATACACTTTCACAAAGTGTTACTGAGAGCAGGTTCACAGTACTCAACTGAAGAAGACAAACTGGCAAAGGAAACTGTTGCAAAGACGCTTAAGTGGAGAAGCCAGGACCCAGGTGCAAGACATGAGGCAGATTAGTGAGGAGCCTCATGTCGTGAAGCTGCCTGTAATGAGACAGGAAGTGAATGCACAAAATAAAACAGGAAGTACCAAAAATACAATAAAACCAGAAACAAGACTGCAAAGCACTCAACCTGCAGAATCACCCATGACAAAGACAAATGTGAGAGAATCGTTTAGTTAATCTTTTATCATTTTTTTAAAATCTCCACAAAACATGTATTGCTATACAACGTTAGAATGTCGCTAAGAGGCATGAAAAATGTTTTATTCTAGCTAAATTAGCCATTGTAGCGCTCTTCGTACTTCGGTTGTTGACAAGTGAAGCCAGCTTTCTCGCTTACAGGTGCTGTTGGGTTGTGGATTTAGGAAGCAGTGTTGGAGCGGGGGGAGGTAAAGCCCTGTCTACCTGATTCACGATTTAATTAATAGCAATTAAAATTTCATCATTTCAATTCCAGTTTTCAGCGTTATCCACAGGAGTAGCGCCGAGGGTTTTCCCTTAGCGAGTGTAAGGAGTCGCCGTTCTCTGTGCGGGGGTGGGGTGGGGGGGTATGCCCCCCATTCTCCATGGGCACAGACCTTTTTTTGGGTGGGGGTGGGGCAGGATGAAAGTTTGGCTGAATGGGGTTTGACGCCGCCCTGGTGTTCCTCCACTCCCTTTTAATTCTAAAAGGTAATTTTCCGTTATTATTAGGATAACTTCTCGCGTGTCAGTGGCAGGTTCCGTTTTGGTATTTGTGAATTCAGACTGATTAAAACCCTTTTACACCCACACTTCTTCTTCTGATGCCTTCAGCACAACTCAAGAGCCTGTGGAGCACCTTTGGTTACACAAAACCTTGTTTCTGTGTAGAAACGCTCATCAAAGGCCGGTGGTGACCCCAGAGCCACGACTCATAGAGCTGATATTTTTCTCCAGGCTGCGGACACACAAGTCCACCTTTATATGGTGTGATGGATGAGTAATAACCTGTAAGAATGACACTGTGTTCCCGGTTCCAGGTGGGAGAATTCATTGTTCCTGCCGCTGCTGTAAGTCACCGCTCCGTCTCCTTTAGCTGAAAACGCCCCGATCTTTCCTACCAGGACTATGGATTCTCCGGTGGAATGAGCAGCTGTCGTTGTTGTTGCTGTTCAGAAGCACGTTAGCGGCTCTAAAGATGTTACATCAGAGGGGGACTTCTCAGAAAAGCCAGCTGGAGCCTCCAGATAAAACTGCTATCAGGACGAATCTGGAAAGTGCATAACAAGTGGAACGGCTGATGTCTCCCTCAGAATGATTGCTCCTCCTCAGTGGTGAAAGATTGGGTCTCTCTTCTGTTTTTTCTCTTTCACCTGGGGTCAAGCGTACATGAACAGGCTCAAATGTTTTCCTGATAGGCTGAGCACGCTTTTTTCTTGAAGTTTAGTTTTTATTTAAATGCAAAAGTTAGAAATTAGAACAAAGTAAAGGGCTGAGCTAAGATCCAGTCAGAGTTATCGTTTTACAGGTGGCTGAGATTTGAATCTGCTCTCTGTGTGAATAAAACATTTTTAATCCCGTTCATGAAGGACACGTTTACTTGAGAAGAAGGAAACTGACCCTCGTACAAATGAATGTTCTCTGGTAGAAACAGCTGAGAGAGAGACCTTGTTCAGGTTTGCAGAGGAACACCTCTTCCCCGTCCTCTGGCGTTATTTCAGCCCCCGTTCTGAGATAAAGTGGTTCCTATGCTTTTATTAGTGACGCGTTGATCGTGTTATTGCAGCAGAGTTTAATGTACATTAATGCCCTTTCTGCACCATTTTCAACCTTTTGTTTAAGCGGTCATCTTAATTATTTCTGAATGTCCTTTGACAAAATATTCACTTGTTTGTTGCATCTTAACCTGTGCCTTGGGAGTGTTGAGGATGGATCGGTCCGTCAGAAGGACAGCTCATGATAGAGAAGACAGACTGAGATGGGTTGGACACGTCCAGAGAAGAGACAATGATGGCATGAAGATGCTGAGGCTGGAGACACCAGAGGAAGAACAAACATGACATTTATGGATGTGGTGAAAGAGGATTTGAAGTTAGTTGGTGAGAGGATTGGTTGTGAAGACATGTGAAGGGACAAACCGTAAAACTCCCCTAGTCCTGCAGTAATAGAAGGCATCATCAGGACCAGGACACACACACACACACACACACACAAGTTGGTGATCACAGTTATAAAATATCCTGCTATTACAGGCTAATCGCCAGCCTGATGATTTATGTTTAGTGTTCCAAAACATTTCAATCTGTTGTTCTCACAGTGTGTGTGTGTGTGTGTGTGCGTGTGTGTGTGTGTGCGTGTGTGTGTGTGTGTGTGTGTGTGTGTGTGTGTGTGTGTGTGTGTGTGTGTGTGTGTGTGTGTGTGTGTGTGTGTGTGTGTGTGTGTGTGTGTGTGTGTGTGTGTGTGTGTGTGTGTGTGTGTGATGGGAATCTCCTCCTCAGTCCCACCCCTAAGCATTAGCATCGATCATGTGGTGAAAAGCCGACCGGGACGCAGCATCCTCTCACTCCGCTCCGCCGCGTCCGAGCCGCTGTTCTCGGGAACAACTTTTGGGTCTTGCCCGCTCAGAACCGAGCTGTCCAGCGCGCTGCAGGACTTCTCTTTTCCGGTCCTTATGTGGAGTTTAAAATGTTACAGAAGTGAAAGCAGCCGTGTCCGGCACGCGGTGATCCTTCTGCACGCGCGGGTCTCGGCGGCCGCACGCGCACCTGAAACGCCGCTAGCGGACGTCCAGACTCAGGGCTGAGCCGAGAGGATGGTCCAGAACGTAATTCTGGTGTTTTTCCGCAGGAGGCTGAGCCAGAGGCCGGCTGTGGAGGAGCTGGAGAGTCGGAACATCTTGAAACGTAAGTACAGCAAGAAGACTGGGTCATGTGAGCAAAGGTCAATAAAGCAATGCTAAAAAGACACGACATTTTAAAAAGCTGTTTGATTTAACGCTCTCTGCTCAGGAGTGAAGGGTTTTATTTCTAACAAAAGTCTCATTTAGAGATGAGCTCAGTCTGAATTTCAAAACAAGACATTTCTAATGAAGGAGCGTTGTCATTAGAAATGATGATTTGGCTGATGGCACAAAACTAAACAATTTCTATAATCAGTTGGGTTCACAAAATCTAAATGTGATATTATAATTATTTTATTAATGTATATTAAATGCAAAATGCACCGTTTATGTTTAAATCTGCTTGGAAATGCAAATACACACTTTATTAAGGGTGCATTATGAAGTAAAAATGACACCTTGTGGAAAAATCTGGTCACTTCAACCACTTTCAACAACTCTGGAGCTTTTTGCCAGCTGTCATCAAATTACAACTGTCATTGCTGCAGCATTAGCTCACAGGAGACACGGCACCCCCACCGTCACTGATGGACAACGGTAGCTTTGTTTTGAAAGGAGAAAAACTGACAATCCCCACAGCCGGCCGGATATGAAACATGTTTTAGTAAAACTTTCTTCCAAAATGACTGAAACACTAGACTCTTTTGGGATTTTCTCACTGTAAACTTCTCACTATATTCTTACATGCTGCACCTTTAAAGTGAGTTACAGTTCTGTTAAAAAGAACATTTAGTCTAAAGTGCAGCAGGGATCCCATCTAGAGAGCTCTTCCTTTCTGGTTTGTTCCTCCAGGGATTTACAGCCGCATTATTAAGACAACAGCCATAGTTCATTGTGCATCCCTGAGTGTGACCTCCGCGGGAACACACGAGTCCTGCAAACTAAAACCATCCTTACTGACCTAAAACAAACAGAAATTGAGAGATTACGAAACAGCCATGCAACGAGTCCCATAGTTTGTTCTAATCTGTGTCAGTGGGTGTGTCAGACCACCTGTGAGCACTCAGCAGCTGTTCCTGTCCTCATCCACTCAGCAGCATGCGTCCGCGAGGACACACAGCTACAACACATTCAACATAGTGTGTTTATTACGTCTCAGCCTTTTAAAGTCAACCTGATTCGTTTGCAGAAAAACAAATATATAATAAAATGAAATGTAAAGAGTATTGGTTTACGAAGGGAGCTTTCTAAAGAACTGATGAACTGAGAATGGTCAGGATGTGTAATCACCACATGTAAAAGTTGATGCCTTTTTCTTCAAATGTTTGTTTTCTTCCGCCAACAGAACGAAATGACCAGAGTGAGCAGGAGGAGAGGAGGGAGATCAAGCAGCGGCTGAACAGGAAGGTGAGCAGCTGCATGGATTTGAGTCCAGAGCATGCTTCTGCTCCTGCTTCAGCCTGCTCTATGAACCAGAGAGCATCTACTGACAGTTGTCTTTGTTTTCCAGCTCAACCAGCGGCCGACAGTGGACGAGCTGCGGGACAGAAAGATCCTGATTCGGTTCAGTGACTATGTGGAGGTGGCCAAAGCTCAGGACTACGACAGGCGTGCTGACAAGCCATGGACCAGACTGTCAGCAGCCGACAAGGTAACAGCAGCACTCAGCCAGCACCTGGTAAAGATGAGATACTTCCTGGGTTAATTCCACACATGGACAGACTGCAGGACATGTAGAAGTGATAAATTATTCAAGTTCCCATCACCGCCTCAGGATTTTAACTACATAACTAAACAAAAAATGCCCCCTTGTGGTTATCTGGTGTCAAAGTCAGCAAATAAAAGCAGTGTAGATATTTGTTTCCTGCTTTTTGTTACTTCTGAGGTTCATTTGCTGCTGTTTGTTTCTGGCGCGAAGAGAAGAGGAACAACGGATGCTCTGGAGCTTTTACCCGGTGTGTTTTTATGCAGCTCGCTCAAAGTGCACCTAGAGCTGTGTGATGATAGAAAACGTGTGTTTGGGAAGATAAACTCTTATTTTCTTCACTCATGATGCAACATAGCTGGTGTCTCCCTGAGCTGCAGCTGTTTTGGACACGGTGTCGACAACAGTTTCCCAAGAGGGTTGTCGCTCTCCTTTCACAGGGCCTTGTTCCTGTGCCGCTAGACTTTACCGACCTCCAGAACTCCTCTCAGTTTTGTTTCTGTCAGAGAGTAATTGATAAATACGCCAGAACTTTGTGAGGAATTGGAGTTCAATGCGATTCCAACTGGAAATTTGAAGTTTTTGCCATTTTTTTGCTCAAACAGCTGCCAGTCACGCTCCAGTAGGATTTATTGCACTTTCAGTTTTGATGTAAAGATAAATTTGTGATAAGCCCCAACCTAAACAGCTGCTGCATCTCCGTTGTTGTCCAGTCCGTAACCCGTGTTCAGCCCGAGCAGCTTACGTGTTGTTTTGGTTCCTCAGGCGGCCATCAGGAAGGAGCTGAATGAGTTTAAAAGCAACGAGATGGAGGTCCATTCTTCTAGCAAGCATCTGACAAGGTCAGTGTGGTCACTTGTCACTATTGCTGGGTTCCCATGTGTGTGAATGCTGCCTAACAGGGTCAGTGTAACGTGAGAAGTCTCCAAAGAGCATCGTGTGACTGCCTCACACTCATAAGTGCAAAACATGCAGAGCGAAGCCTAAGTTATTTGCACCCAGACTGTCACAGGTGGAAAAGTTGAGCTATTTTTCACCAGCTTTCCACATAATAAATGTTCTTGCTTGGATCGCGAACGTTCTGCTGATGTCGATGTAAAGAACAAAAAAAAAACCTGAATTAGCAGGGGCTGTGCTTACATAAGACCCCATGACGGAGAAGCATTGTTCACAGGACTAATAATAGTTCTCCTGACTAATCAAACCTCCTTTTGTGGAAAGTCTAGACCTCGCTCACTCTTTTCTCTTTTTTGCAGGTTTCACCGGCCTTAGCAAGGTTTCTTCTGTGAAGAGTTGCTGAAATCTGGTTTTGTCAGAAGGTCTTGCATGAGGGACCTTCCAGCTCTTTGGCTCCACAGTCAGCGGCCGTCCTGATATTTGGGTCCAGCAAACTTTGAGGCTATGTCTCTGGAAACGGGTCTGTCGGTAGAAGAGGCCGAACGCAGCAAGCTCTTAGAAGAACATCTGAACCCTCACTTCCCCCGTCAGAGGTGCAAGAACCAGGGTTATCTATCTGCAGTGGATCAACAGAGACCTTTTTTGTAAACAGACTCTTTTGAAAGACTTTTTTAAAACTGCTGCTGGGGAGCAACGTGCATGTGTCCGAGTCGACCGGTCCCACTCCAGTATCAGTAGTCCCATCCTTGAGCTGTGTCTGACTCTCAATGATTCAGTTGATGAATTTCATATCAACTGTGTTAATGTTGTTCAGCAGAAACCTGCGAGACAAAAATCCCTTTGTAACTTCTATTTATTGTCTGCACAATACAGGTTTTTAATTTGTAACAAACCTTGTTTGTCTTGTCTGCACAAGTCTTAGTTTATGCACCAAAAATCCCTCTGGTGAATGGAATCGGCTAATATTCACCAACATCAGCCAGATCGGCTAAACTAATTCTGAGTCTGAACAGCCTGATGGTTTATTGTCATCGAGCAGCGATGTATAATGTCTAACATCTTTCCTGATCTGTGATCCCACCGTTGCTACACACTAATTCACACCAACAGGTCTTTCATGTGGAAGCCAATAGGTATTGTGTAACCTAATTGTCTTTGAGACAATCAGATTAGAGGTCCAGAAGAATTACAGACTGGTATTGGCTGTTAAAGGTGCCAATCAAAAACTTTCTGCTTTTAAATCAAAACAAGACTGAAGTTCTCATCTGGACCTGAAATTCACAAAAGGAAATTGCTTAGTCAGTCACCTGACCTGAACAGAATTAAATTAATCTCTGAGAACAAAGTAAGGAACCTTGGTGTTACCTTTGACCAGGACATGTCATTCACATCCCACGTTAAACAGGTTTGTAGGATTTCCTTTTTCCACCTTCTGAATATTGCTAAGATTAGAAGCATCCTTTCCAGGAGTGATGCTGAAAAACTAGTTCATGCATTTATGACATCAAGACTGGATTACTGTAATTCATTACTCTCAGGAAGTCCACAGAATGTAGTTAGAAGTTTTCATCTTGTCCAAAATGCTGCAGCTAGAGTTCTGATGAGAATTAAAAAGAGAGATCATATCTGTCCTGTCTTGGCTTCCCTACATTGGCTACCTGTTAAATTCAGAATAGATTTTAAGATCCTTCTTCTCACATATAAAGCTCTTAATAATCAAGCTCCATCATACATCAGCAGTGTTGGGAACGTTACTTTAAAAAAGTAATTAGTTATAGTTACTGATTACTTTGTCAAAAAAGTTACTCAGTTACTGAGTTACAAGATTATAAAAGTAACTAATTACCAAGAAAAATAACTACTTAGTTACTTTTTTCATTAAAGCATGCAAGAATGACTACAATAGTGAAATATAAATGACTAATGACTGGAACATAATAAAATGTAAGTCCAAATGTTTTTATAAACCTGAATAATTTAAATAAATAAGCACTTAACAGGAGGAACTACTAACAGGAACATAACGCTTATCTAGACTACTAAAAGGTCACTGTGTGATATTTAACAAGACCCCAATCAGCTAAAATTTAAAATTGCTAATAGAAACACCTGTAAAGGTTCCTGAGCCTTTAAATGGTTTCTCGGTCTAGTTAAATTACAGAAATGAATGTAATTTTGCACATTATTTTAATTCTTCCAGCTTCACATAATTGTGTGTTTTAGTAGCATTTCTGTTGCTGGTAATCTAGTATTGGTTAAATAAATAAATAAAATCTTTTAAAATGACACTAGAAGAGGCACAAGCCTGATGGAGGACTTAAATGTACTAACTTGGGTCAGACCCAACCACAGAAGAGCTGAAGCTGGGTGGTAAACACTCACAGGTAGTTCTAATAACACCTGAGCTCCATGACGTCTGAGACTGATGCATCAGTGCTACAGCGGGACTAGAGACATGATCAGAAACAGGTTACAGCTGGATGATCTAGGAAGGTAGAAGATCAGGACGTCTGAGCGGTGAACAGGTGAGCGGACCTTCGGGACGTCCCGCTGTCACGCTAAGAAGGGCACGGCTGCAGACCCGCAGATTCGCTGCGGGTCTGCAGCCGTAGATATTCATCACGTCTTCCTCGATCTTCACGGCCGAGATACGCTTGGATGAAAACATCTACCTCTTTAGCTCCTGATCAGCTGATGACAGCTTCAACACACCGCGCTGCTTAACGCACCCATTTCCTTTTCAGTAACAGAAACGACGTTTTGTTAAAAGAAGATGGTAATTAATTAGTTTGCTCGTTACAGAAAGAAATTTTTTTATGAATGCGTTATTTTAAACGGCGTTATTCCCATCACTGCCCTGTTGGGTCTACAGCATGCAGTGACAGTGAGAACACTGAGGGTCTCCGCCCAACCGGCCAATCATCATCGTGTTTGTAAGTGTGTTACCGACACCTCTCTCTCCCTTGCTGCAGCTGAAGTGTGGCGGTCAGAAAGCCTCACACTGTTGCTCAACGTTAGACAAGCACATAGTAACGCACCTTCTGTCCCCAGTAACGGTAACGGCGTTGCAACAGTGGGAAGAGTAATTAATTAGATTATGCCGTTACCTAAAAAAACACCATTAGTAACGCCGTTATATTTAAACTGCGTTACTCCCAACACTGTACATCAGTGACCTGATTGTTCCATACGTTCCTAACCGAGCACTTTGCTCTCAGACTGCAGGTTTACTGGTGGTTCCCAGAATATCTAAAAAATAGACTTGTGGGAGGGGCCAAAGGGGTCGGGTGCAGTGTGTGATGGGTGGTAGTCGAGGGCGGGGACCTTGGCAGTCTGATCCTCGGCTACAGAAGCTGGCTCTTGGCACATGGAATGTCACCTCTCTGGTGGGGAAGGAGCCTGAGTTGGTGTGTGAGGTTGAGAGGTTCCGACTAGATATAGTCGGACTCACCTCAACGCATGGCTCTGGCTCTGGAAACAGTTTCCTTGAGAGGGGTTGGACTTTCTACCACTCTGGAGTTGCTCCCACTGAGAGGCGCCGAGCAGGGGTGGGCATACTAGTTGCCCCCATCTTGGTGCCTGTAGGCTGGGGTTTACCCCAGTGAATAGGAGGGTAGCCTCCCCCTGCCTTTGTGTGGGGGGACGAGTTCTGACTGTGGTCTGTGCTTATGCACCAAACTACAGTTCAGACTACCCACCCTTTTTGGAGACCTTGGAGGGGGTGCTGGAAAGTGCTCCTTCCGGTGACTCCCTCATTCTGCTGGGGGACTTTAACCCTCACGTGGGCAACGACAGTGAGAGCTGGAGAGGTGTGGTTGGGAGGAACGGCCTCCTGAGCTGAATTCGAGTGGTGTTTTGTTATTGGACTTCTGTGCCAGTCATGGACTGTCCACAATGAACACCATGTTCAGACATAAAGGTTTCCATGTGTGCTCTTGGCACCAGGATACCTTAAGCCGCAGCTCGATGATCGACTTTGTTCTTTTTTCATCTGACCTGCGGCTGCATGTCTCGGAGACTCGGGTGAAGAGAGGGGCGGAGCTGTCAACTGACTACTAGCTGGTGGTGAGTTGGCTCAGATGGTGGGGGAGGATGCCGGTCAGACCAGGCAGGCCCAAACGTACCTCGAGGGTCTGCTGGGAACGTCTGTTCCGGGGAAGGCTATTGTGGGGACGGTGTGCTGCTGACCTCTACTCAGGATGTTGTGGATCGGTGGGCAGAACACTCAATCTCCTCAAACTCACCGACATGTCTTCCAGTGAGGAAGCAGAGTCTGGGGACTTTGAGTTGGCCTCTCAAATCTCTGGTTCCGAGGTCACTGAGGTGATTAAAAAGCTCCTCTGTGGCAAGGTTCCGGGGGCGAATGAGATCTGCCCGAAGTTCCTTAAGGCTCTGGATGTTGTGGGACTGTGTTGGCTGACGTGGCTCTGCAATATCGCGTGGACATCAGGGGCAGTCCCACTGGACTGGCAGACCGGGGTGGTGGTCCCCTTATTTAAAAAGGGGGATCGCAGGGTGTGTTCCATCTACAGGGGGATCACACAGCCTTCCTGGTAGGTCTATTCAGGGGTTCTGGAGAGGAAGGTCCGTCGGATTGTTGAACCTCAGATTCAGGAGGAGCAATGTGGTTTTCATCCTGGCCGTGGAAAACTAGACCAGCTCTATACCCTTAGGGGAATCCTGAGGGTGCGTGGAATTTACCCAACCAGTCTACTTGTGTTTTGTGGACTTGGAGAAGGCGTTTGACCGCATCCCTCGGGGGGCCCTGTGGGGGTACTCCGGGAGTATGGGGTACCAGGCCGTCTGATACGGGCTGTTAGGTCCCTGTATGACCGGTGTCAGAGCTTGGTCTGCATTGCCGGCAGTAAGTCGGACTCGTTCCCAGTGAGAGTTGGACTCCGCCAAGGCTGCCCTTTGTCACTGATTCTGTTCATAACCTTTATGGACAGAATTTCTAGGCGCAGCCAAGGTGTGGAGGGCATCCGTTTTGGTGGCCTGAGGGTCAGGTCTCTGCTTTTTGCAGATGATGTGGTCCTGTTGTCTTCATGAGAACGTGTTCTTCAGCTTTCGCTGGAGCGGTTCACAGCCAAGTGTGAAGGAGCTGGGATGAGAATCAGCTCCTCTAAATCTGAGACCATGGTCTTGATTCAAAAAAGGGTAGAATGCCTTCTCCGGGTCAGGGATGAGGTCCTGCCCCAAGTGGAGGAGTTTAAGTATCTCGGGGTCTTGTTCACGAGTGAGGGAAAACTGGAGCGTGAGATCGATAGGCGGATTGCTGCTGCATCTGCAGTGATGCGGGCGTTGTACCGGTCTGTCGTGGTGAAGAGAGAGCTGAGTCAGAAGGCGAAGCTCTCGATTTACCAGTCGATCTACGTTCCTACCCTCACCTATGGTCATGAGCTTTGGGTAGTGACCTGCGGCCGAAATTAGTTTTCTCCGAAGAACGGCTGGGCCCTCCCTTAGAGATAGGGTGAGAAGCTTGGTCATTCGGGAGGCGCTAGGAGTAGACCCGCTGCTCCTCCACATTGAGAGGAGCCAGTTGAGGTGGCCCGGGCATCTGGTCAGGATGCCTTCTCGACGCCTCCCTGGTGAGGTTTACCGTGCACGTCCAAATGGGATGAGACCTAAAGGTAGACCCAGGACACGTTGGAGGGACTATGTCTCTCACCTGGCCAGGGAACACCTTGGGATTCCCCCGGAGGAGCTGGCCCAAGTGGCTGGGGAGAGGGAAGTCTTGGCCTCTCGCCTTAGGCTACTGCCCCCGCGACCCGACTCTGGATAAGCGGATGAAAATGGATGGATGAATGGATGGCTGGAGGATGGAAGGCAGATCTTTTAGCTATCAGGCTCCTCTCCTGTGGAACCAGCTCCCAGCTTTAGTCCGTGAGGCAG